TGAACGACCTAAAAATAAATAATAATTTATTGATTAGACACTTAGGGAATATGAATGTAATATTTAATGTACTTAATATTTTTGTGATTTAATAAACTTTCATTTAAATCCTTTAAAATAGAGAAAAATAAACCTGTAAAATGACAGAAAATGGACTGGAAGCTTGTTACAAGGTTTTTGTAGTGTAATATACAACACCAACCAATACCAACAGAAGACAAAATAGCACAGCAAACTTTTAAAAATGTTTTAAAAAAGTAAAAAAAAAATTAAATTATTTAAATTAATAAATTTAATAAAATTTATGTTAATAAAAGTCCAACTTATTAAGGTTAAAAGTTGTCAGAAAAAAAATCAAGGTCTCATAAATAAAAGATAAACACATGGATCACAAAACCCTGAAAACTGCTAATTTACGGATATTTTTAAGGTGTAGCATGCATTTAAGCATCTGAAAGCATTACGTTCAGTTTGTACCTAAATATATTGATTTAATGTCAATTTTTCTTACCATAGTGACCGTCTCTTCAGTGACCAGTTTGAGCACATCGATGACTGAAATGTATCCAAGCCGCTTGGCGATGGCAAGAGCAGAGGTGCCGTTCTATCAAAAAACATTACCATGTCAAACCTCCAGCACATTTTTAAAAGCAATGATGGTGATCGTTTAGTATTGGCATGGCTCTTACAGATGTAACTTCATTCGGTTGTGCTCCGTGTTTCAGCAGAAGCGTCACGATGTCCGTATGACCCTGCTGAGCAGCCTGATGTAGCGGCGTGTAGCTCATCTAACAAAAGAGGATGAAGAAAGCAAGAAAAAGCATGTTTTGAGATCTCTATTAAGGGTCTTGCTTTTTACAAGATGACTTATGAAAGATCTCTGGTGGCCTCAAAACACTGCATGCATGTTGTAGTACATATGTTATGTACTATAAGAATTTTCAGGAAATCAGTCGAGCAATAAATTGACTCGAGTTTCGTTCTAATTAAAGATGTTTACTAAATTCTCATGCATTATAACAATAGCCTCAGGTCAAAAAAACTGAGTTTTCTTTCCATTTTTTACTTTGGTAACTCGTAACCTTACTTAAAATAGTCCAATAAATATAGAGCAAACCATCTTTAACAAAGGACAAGGGGTCAAATCAGCTAATGTACACAATCAAACAAACCAAAATATGTCAATTGTACATGTATTTGAGCACTATTAATAAAATATATTGTGTATGTAATGTAATGTGTATTTATATAGCACATTTATCATGTATGGCCTTACACGGGACTTAATATTCAATCAATTTGATATTCATTCTGATTACACCATGCTATAAATGCCTCTTTTTGAGTAAAAGCTATTAATTTTGTGTGTGTGTGTGTGTGTGTGTGTGTGTGTGTGTGTGTGTGTGTGTGTGTGTGTGTGTGTGTGTGTGTGTGTGTGTGTGTGCGTTTACATGCAAATGAGCTGCTGCTGCTCCACATTACTGATATGCAGAACTGACTATGCTTTGTCCCTTCGCAGATATTTTGTATTTCTTGAAACTCCATATAAACTAAGCTTTTTTGCACTGTAACTGATGATAAACAGTAAAAATTACCAATTTTACTCCTTCCTAACAGGGTAAACCACCAACAATCAAGTATGCATGATTATTTGGTGTCATGGCATTGCAATCAAAAAATGTGATTATAATGGAAGTCAATGGGGCAAGAACAGCCCCCAACATAACGAAAGGGTAGTCAATTTGCTTTATGAAGTGTATTGTTGACTTTTGTTTCTACTTCAAAGCAGTTCACATCAGCAAAAATCATTCCGTTTGCTGAAACACCGAGAAACTGTGGGTAGATTAAGCCTCAACATCACCTCAGAGTAGATGAAAACAACCTGAACTGCACACAGGGGTTTACTAACCTAGGTATGAATATCATCAATTGTCTAATTCACAAATGTAATCTTTTCTCATGAAAAAAGCAATCCAAGCAAACTCAACTGAGACGAAGATAAAGGTCTGACATTGAAAACCTAGTGACTAAATCAAAAGCAGTGTTTGTTTACCCTGGTCTTGCAGTTTACGTTGGCCTGCTGCTGTAAGAGAAACTTCACCATCTTGATATTCCCATAATGACAAGCCACGTGAAGCGGAGTGTAACCCATCTGAAGAGAAATCAACAGTGATACTCATAATCATTCATTATTGTCAAGTATAAAGTAAAGTACTATGCAGAGATTCAAGTGAAACAATTGTTTTGACTATTTTTTTTCCAGGCAACTTTCCTTTGATCAACATTTCACTGTAGTATATATATATATATATATATATATATATATATATATATATATATATATATATATATATATATATATATACACAGGGCTTTACATTAACACCCGCCAACCCGCCAAATGTGGGTAGATTTCAGCTTTGGCGGGTTAGACAGACACCTCCCCTAGCCACTTTGGCTGGTTGAAAATAATTTTTAAATTGTAGTTTTCCTAAAAGCAGGGTTCGACAACAGGCTATAATGATGGCCCAATATGCGTGCAAATGTGATCTTAAAAATCGAGAAGTAAAATATTTGTGATCACACGAGCAGAAGAAAGCAAATGAATACCGAATGAGAGGATGATGATCACTCGCGCTAATAGCTGATGTAAAGCGCGCAACTGCTTAAAACGCGTGCGCGCTTCCGAATCGTGAAGCAACCGTGTCTGGAACAGGTTCTGGAAACGCAACTGTCATCGTTTCTCTTTAAATAAACTAGACAAATAGTGATGAACATGCACCCACAGTCCTGATGCTTTTAAGAGCTCAACATAAGAGATTAACATTGGAAAATTAATTGCCACAGTGGCCGGTGATTAAAAAAGTTAATGTAAAGCCATGTATATATATATATATATATATATATATATATATATATATATATATATATATATATATATATATATATATTAATTTGATAAACATGCATACATACAAAACAATTTTGTGTGTGTGTGTGTGTGTGTATGTGTAAATTCCGCTTTTAAATAATAGGTCTCCTATAGCTTTCGCCATGAGGCTGTGTTCAAAATGACATCAATGTTTTCAAAGTGCACTGCGAAGGGAGCACAATTGTCAACATGAAGATTGCTAAAACTAAACTGTAAAAAAAAAAGTTTAAAAGCAAATTGCAGCTAAGAGAGATGACCTTAATGCTTTTTTACTTTTAATAATTCCAACTTTGAATGTTAGAATGTTCTAAATGAATAGGGCATAGGGGGGATAAGTGGGAATAGAACACAGCCAGGACTATAATTCTAACTACAGCTCCAGAGTTGTAGTTGCGAGTGCTCAAATTTGCGACGCAGTTTGCAAATGTTCGTTCCAGCGACAGATTTAGGAATTGGCAAATCAACAATTTATGTTCGTATCGACGGATCTTGCGACTTTAGTTGGCTAACGATGGATTTGGGAAATTAACACTAGTTAGCCTCATTAACCTAGTTAAGCCTTTAAATGTCACTTTAAGCTGTATAGAAGTGTTTTGAAAAATATTTAGTAAAATATTATTTACTGTCATCATGGCAAAGATAAAATAAATCAGTTATTAGAGATGAGTTATTAAAATTATTATGATTAGAAATGTGTTGAAAAAAATCTGCTCTCTTTTAAACAGAAAACGGGGAAAAAAATAAACGGGGCTAATAATTCAGCGGGGCTTATAATTCTGACTTCAACTGTATATGTAGTATATATATGGTACACGCTCATATATCATATCAAAACAAGCCTTTACTTTAAATGCAAACAATCATGTTGAATTAAAAGTTTTTTTTATATATCTGACTCTTTAAATCAATAGATTTGTCTATAGCTGTATTTTTCTGAATTTTTCTGAATTCAGTTGTTAAATGTGGTTGTTAATCTCCTAGATGACAGAACTGTTTAAAGTGCCTTAAAGTGAACTGATGGCTTTATTTACCTTCAGTTTTAACATTCTATTCATGCGCTATGAAAAAGCCCATTGCATAGTAAAAGAGGAGAGTTTTTACCCGTGTGGCAGCATAAACAGATGCTCCATGTTTCACTAGTATATCAGCAATCCCAACATGCCCTTCCTGAGCCACAAGATGAAGAGGAGTCAGACCGCTCTGAGGAGAGAGGACACATTCAGTACGTATCTTAATAGGCTTACAACAAATTTCTACTGTATTTAGCAATACTGGTAACACTTTTTAAAACTTTTTATATAGTATAATACACTTAATTGTTATTGTATGGTTAAAAATACAACTATAAATTACTAGTATTGATTTTCATGCGGGATGATAATTTTGCTGCCATGCAGACACTGCTATTTACTGTATTTCAAGTTCAACTTTGTTTTGGCTGGTTCACAAAGCCAATCGAGATTGGGTTTGGAATTGGGGAGAGCTTGCTTTTTATTTTTAAAAAAGAGAGAAATACTGAGCTCACCTTATTGCCAAGGTTTACATTGGCCTGCTTGGAGATGAGCAGTAACACCATGTCAGGTTGACCCTCTTGAGAGGCGAGGTGTAGAGGTGTGACCCCTTGCAGAGACTCAGCATTGGCAGACGCCCCGTGCTGCAGTAAACTGCTCGCCACCTCCGCCTGGTTCTGTTTGGAAGCAATGTGGAGCGGAGTATAGCCATTCTGCCAAGAGGGAAAACAAATATTTGCGCGAGCAGTTTTAGCTTAGCTTAGCATAGGTCATTGAATCGGATTAGACCATTAGCATCTCACTCAAACACATATTTTTTCATTCATTCATTCTCTTGTCGGCTTAGTCCCTTTATTTATCCGGGGTCGCCACAGTGGAATGAACTGCCAACTTATCCAGCACGTTTTTACGCAGCGGATGCCCTTTCAGCCGCAACCCATCTCTGGGAAACATACACACATTCACACACACATACATACACTACGGACAATTTAGCCTACCCAATTCACCTGTACCGCATATCTTTGGACTGTGGGGGAAACCGGAGCTCCCGGAGGAAACCCATGCGAACGCAAGGAGAACATGCAAACTCCACACAGAAACGCCAACTGAGCCGAGATTCGAACCAGCGACCCAGCGACCTTCTTGCTGTGAGGCGACAGCGCTACCTACTGCGCCACTGCTTCATCAGGGAACTTTGCTGCCATACTATGTAAAAGTGATTGGCGGTTCATTCTGCTGTGGCGACCCCTAATAATTCAGGGACTAAGCTGAAACAAAAATTAATGAATGAATTATATAGTGGAATTGGATTAACTATATTGGCTGTAGTGTGTGAATAATCCCATGTTTCCTAAAACGATTGCAAGAGTAATTGGCGGTTCGTTCCACTGTGGCAAAAAGAGTGATTGAGTGAGTCAGGGTGACAATAGCATCATACCCGAGCGGCGCTGTGTGGTGATCCTCCTTTGCTGAGTAAAAGATTGACCACATCTAGATTGTTATGATGGACGGCCACATGCAGCGGCGTGAGTCCAACCTGCAGAGGAGAATTCATCCTAAATCACTGCCAATAATAATAATAATACATCACAGATGAAAATACAAGAATCCTGATTAAAAATCTTTAATAATTATACTTAAAAACTAATTAAACAACTGTTTTATAACCTGTTTTAACAATATTCTGTTGCATTTTTTTAAAGTACAGGTGTTTTGCTGATAAGCAATGTACTAACGCATATGCAAATTATTATATTCTATAAGTGGGTGACAAATTCAGAAACGAAACTTAAGCTAAGCTAAAAAAAAAATGCACTGAAGTATCATTGCATTCAGTTCACACTCATTATTATTAAATCTGAACCATACTTTTCCAGCAGCGTTTGGATTTGCTCCCCTCTCCAGAAGCAGAACTGCCACGTCCACCTTTCCGTATTTGGCTGCAACATGAAGAGGAGTGAAGCCTTTCTGCAGGACACCCAAGACAGAGAAAGAGACTGTCAGTACACAAGCAGAACTACTGAAAGACAGTAGTTAATTATACTAGTTGTGATTGATTGGTCAAGCTTTTATCATGACATACGGCATTACTATAATATTGACCCAAGCTGGAAAAAAGGTTACTTTAATACACTGCAAAAAATGATTTTCTTTCTTAGAGTTTTTGTCTTGTTTCTGGTCCAAATATCTAAAAACTCTTAAATCAAGAAGAATTTTCAAGACAAGCAAAACATATTGTCTTGTTTAAAGAAATAATATGCCAACATAAAGTGAGTTTTTCCTTAAAACAAGCAATGAGGTAAGCAAAATAATCTTGTTTTTTTTTTATTTATTTTTTTTATGTAAGATTATGTTGCTTACCCCTTTGGCAGATTATTTTGCTCGTTTTAAGGAAAAACTCACTTTATATTGGCATATTATTTCTCAAAACAAGACAATATGTTTTGCTTGTCTAGAAAATGCTGCTTGAAATAAGAAATTTTAGATATTTAGAAAAGAAACAAGACAAAAAAAATCTAAGCAAGAAAAGCATTTTTTGCAGTGTAACTAAACATACTGGTACAAAAAAAAAAACTTGCTACCCTCAATTTCTTTGAATCAAATAGACTTTTGATTACAAAAACAGATGGCTGGCTTCTTTTTTTTCTAACCACAAGATAATTGTTTATAGTTTAACATTTACATGATTATGGAGTTATTCATCATTCAAAAAATATGTTTGATTTATTTTTTGTTGTGGTTAATTTAATATTATTAGGTATAGTATATGCATATGTGTATGATATTTTGTTATTCCATCTATTTTGGCAAAACCAACACAACAAAACCACATTTGCTCAACATTGATTAGTAAAATAATTATAATTCACAAATAAAGACAACCTTTAAGTTATATGTTAAGATTGAATGTTTAATTTTGTGCATACTCAAAAGGTTTAAGAAAAAAAAAAGTATTTTTAATCATATTTATATGTGGTATGATATGTGTGTATTTATGTGTATAATATATTAATTCATCCATGATGCGAATCTCCCATTCCACCACATCCCATAGGTGCTCTATTGGATTGAGCTCTGGTGACTGTGGAGGCCATTTGAGTACAGTGAACTCATTGTCATGTTCAAGAAACCAGTCTGAGATGATTCACGCTTTATGACATGGTGGGTTATCCTGCTGGAAGTAGCCATCAGAAGATGAGTACACTGTGGTCATAAAGGGATGGACATGGTCAGCAACAATACTCAGGTAGGCTGTGGTGTTGACACGATGCTCAATTGGTACTAATGGGCCCAAAGTGTGCCAAGAAAATATCCTCACACCATTACACCACCACCACCAGCCTGAACTGTTGATACAAGACAGGATGAATCCATACTTTCATGTTGTTGACACTAAATTCTGACCCGACCATCTGAATGTGGCAGCAGAAATGGAGACTCATCAGAGCAGGCAACGTTTTTTATCTGCTCTTGTCCAGTTTTGGTGAGTCTGTGTGAATTGTAGCCTCAGTTTCCTGTTCTTAACTGACAGGAGCGGCACCCGGTGTGGTCTTCTGCTGCTGTAGCCCATCCGCCTCAAGGTTGGACGTGTTGAGTGTTCAGAGATGCTCTTCTGCAGACCTCGGTTGTAACGAGTTACTTTTGCCTTGTGTCAGCTGGAACCAGTCTGGCCATTTTCCTCTGACCTCTGGCATCAACAAGGCATTTGCGCCCACAGAACTGCCGCTCACAGGATATTTTCTCTTATTCTGTAAACCCTAGAGATGGTTGTGTGTGAAAAACCCAGCAGATCAGCAGTTTCTGAAATACTCAGACCAGCCCGTCTTGCACCAACAACCATGCCACGTTCAAAGTCACTTAAATACCCTTTCTTCTCCAATCTGATGCTCGCTTTGAACTGGAGCAGACCGTCTTGACCATGTCTACATGCCTAAATGTATTGAGTTGCTGCCATGTGATTGGCTGATTAAAACTGAGTGTTAACGAGCAGTTGGACAGGTGTACCTAATAAAGTGGCTGGTGAGTGTATACATCCCTTTTGTACATGTTCATTATCATAATATGTTAAATTATTGATTACAAGCATATGAACAGTACCTTGGTCATTTTGGTGAGCTGGGCGTTCATGTCCAGGAGGATGCTGGCAGTTTGTGTGTGTCCCTCGCGGGCCGCGATGTGCAGCGGTGTGTGTCCTGCTGTGGTGGTGGAGTTTGAGTTGGCCTTGTGCTCCAGAAGCAACTTCACCATCTCGTTGTGGCCCATGCGGGAGGCACAGTGTAGCGGCGTCTGGTCATCCTGATGCAGGAGGTGAAGGAAGAGATCAGTCATTGGAAAAAAAGTTTATATACAGTTGAAATCCAAATTATTAGCACCCCTGTATATTTCTTTCCCTAATTTTTTTTTTTTTTTTTTTTTTAGTAAAAAGATGTTTTTCAACACATTTCTAATCATAATAGTTTGTACTAGAGACATTCGAAAAGAAAATATTGCTTAAGGGGGTTAACAATATTGAAAATTTAAAAACTGCTTTTATTGTAGCTGAAATAAAACAATTAAAACTTTCTTCAGAAGAAAAAATATTATAGGAAATACTGTAAAAAAAATTCCTTGTTTTTTATTTGATTTGATTTATTTATTTTCGATCAAAAATATCATATATAATATATTATTAGCAAAAATAAATAAATTTCAACATGTTTAAAAATGGAGTGGGATGAAGCACAAGCTTATTATTTTCCCACCCCATTACCACATACTTCATTCATCTATTACTCAAACTTATTTCATCTTTTACTCATCTCTTTTTTTTACATGAGACATATTTGATCCTTTTGGCGACTTTGACATATTATATGTTTAAATCCATTTGTACCTTTACATTTTGTAACATAGACCCAAAGAAAAAAAAACATAGTACTGCAAATAGCCATTAAATAAAGTTTCATCACCTTTCTCCTTTTATCCTTTTTCAATCACCTTCATCATTATATTTCTTTAATAATAGATATTTATACAACTTTTTAAACTGATTATTATGCTGACATTGTTTGAAAGTCTGATTTAGAACAGTTCCATTATTTCACACGACAGACAGACATCCACAAACTTTTAAAAATTGGCCTTGTTTTTAACCTCCTAAAATGTAGTTCTTTTATATATATCCCCCTTGTCTTTCTTCAAAAACCTTTTGTATGCATTTTGGATGGGATTTATTCCTAGCTTTAAGCATAAACCGTGCTGTTTTAAATTTAACCAAGTCATTAAACTTGAGTATCTATAATAAAAATAAAATAAAGGATTTGTATGCTCCAAATACCCCACACCTTCTAAATAAATGTTTAAAAAAACGCACAGAATTGCAAGTAGTTTTAGTTAAGCAACCCTTAGGAGATTTTTTATTGAAATATATTTTCCTATTTCAGGAGGGTTAATAATTTTCCCTTCGGTTGTATATATATATATAAATAAAATACTACCCTGAAAGAAATATATTTTATTAAAATAATAAATAAATATAAAATATATAAAATTACTTAAAATATGAACATTTATTACAGGTACATTTATCAATTAAAATTCAAATGCGGGTTGGTAAATTATGAATTTAAGATTTAATGAAGAATATTCATATACACTGTTAAAAAATAACAGCACTTTACTGACTTTGGTAGGTCCATGAAGAACTGTTAACCTTTAAGGAAATTTATAGAGTTCTCAAAAGCGGAGAAGATTCCTTCTAAATTTAATTTTAACACTTAATTTTCAGCTGTCCTTGTTTCATGTGCTTACTATAGTAATTAAAATTAATTATGCATAATTACATGTGACTAACCATGAACTTTAGAAGTCTAGTTTATGGATTAATCCTAGCAAGACTGTACCTTAAAATAAAGTGTGACTAATGTGTTATACCTTGGCTTTGGCATCAACTGGAGCTGCATTTTGCAATAGGAATTCAGCAACTTCACAGTGTCCAGCTCGAGATGCCATATGCAGAGGGGTTTCCACTTTCTACAAACACACAAACATGCAGGTAAAAGGATCACAGAATATTACATCAAAACACCCTGGGCGGTATTTAACGATTTAAGCCAGGGGTGGGCAAACTTGGTCCTGGAGGGCTGGTGTCCTGCTGACTTTAGCACCAACACTAATCAAACACCTCTCAACATGCTAATTAGTGTCTTTGAGATTACTAGAAATCCTTAAGCAGATGTGTTTGATTAGAGTTATCAATTCATGCCGGTTCATGAAAAGCATCCCAAACGAAGGGCCGGAGAGATATGACCTGCTATATAAGTGAAGACACAACTACATATAAGAGCCCATATGCATTTTAATGTATTTTCTAAATTGAAATGTGAATATATTGTATTTTAAAACAACTCTATTGTCCAATTGACTTTTTGTTTTTGTTTACAAACATTCAAAATGTATTATTTCGCACAACAAAAGCAGTGCATTGCTAAAGTAGGCTTCTTCTACATTCAGACACATTCATATGTGATGTTTTGAACTGCATAGCAATTAGTGATGCAACATTATAGATTTTGGTTGTACGATATAGTCTGAAGAATAATCCTGGTTTCACGGTTATCACGTCTGATGTAATTTAGAACAACAAGCTTTATAATAGGGAAGTAGCTATTTAGATTAACTGTTGTTATCATCTGGGTTCATGCATATATAATCATTTTTATAATAATTCGTCTAACATATATTTTGTTTACATTGCACTGAAAGGCACGCACAACTCTCACCGTGAGATGTTTTCTACTGCGTCATTCTTACATTAGAGAAAACAAACTTGCAAGCGGAAAACACGTGATATGGGAACGGCCGCTGCTATAGTTAATTCGGTGTGCATGCGTAGTAGCCTCGGTGAACATACTTGAAACTTTAAACTAGCGCACAGTTGGCAACTTGTCAAAACTTTTCCGTGCAACAGAAATGCGGCTTAGAGAAGCCTTTACGATTAATTAACTGTGACAAATTAAAGCGCAGTTAATAGTGAAATCAGCTAATCGTTGCATCCTTATTAATGATTACAGTGCATTGTATAAAAAGCATTTTCTACCAAACGTATCCAAATGTATTCGGCTGTCCGCACCACTCGCTAATGGTGACTCACGCTCAGCGCAGCCTCTGCAGCTCATACTGAATTGAACAGACGCACGTCACTTCATAGCTATAGCAGTCGTTTTTCGATTGAACTAAATTTATTTTTGTGTCTTGGTCACACTATTTAAAGGGCCAGAACAAATTGCCTCGGGGGCCGGGTTCAGCCCGCGGGCCGCCAATTGAATAGCCCTGATGCAGACAAATTACAGTCGTTCACGTTTTAACCACGTTTTTGACCTAATATGCAAACATTTTAATGTTGTGTTTTAAAAACACAATTGTGTAGCAACAGTCTGTGAATATAACCAGCTCCTAACGGTAAAAATGTAATCATTTTATTTTTTATAATCACACTATAATCAAGTCTGCAGATACACTATGATTGACATTCTCCCTTTTGTAGGTTTCATCAGAGGGGGAAAGCCCCGCCCACTATTGACGATCTCTCCCTCATTAGCATAGGGCATTCATCTTGTTTTTGAATCAGCTACTATGCTGACACTTCGGCATTTGCAGCTCCGCCCTTACTTGAAAAGAGCACAATCTCATTTAAATTTAAAGCGACAGTCACCAAAACCGCACATTTAGTGAAAAAAGCCTAAAAGGGCAGTTTTTAAGAATTATAAAACATTATTTGTGTGGTATTTTGAGCTGAAACTTCACACACACACTCTTGGGAAATTATTTGACATTTTGCAAAAAGGGGCAGAATACTATAGGTCCCCTTTAAAACTATTTTTTCATTCATTCATTTTCTTGTCGGCTCAGTCATTTTATTAATCCGGGGTCACCACAGCGGAATGAACCACCAACTTATCCACCACGTTTTTATGCAGGGGATGCCCTTCCGCAAACTATTTCTGGGTAACATCCACAAACACTCACACACACACACACACACACACACACACACACACACACTCATAGACTACAGACAATTTAACCTACCCAATTCACCTGTACCGCATGTCTTTGGACTGTGGGGGAAACCGAAGCACCTGGAGGAAACCCACGCGAACGCAGGGAGAACATGCAAACTCCACACAGAAATGCCAACTGAGTCGAGGATCGAACCAGCAACCTTCTTGCTGTGAGGCAACAGCACTACCTACTCTGCCACTGCTTTGCCCTAAAACTATTTAACTTGTTTTAAAATATCTGTCTGCTACTGCGCATCCCTGTGTGTGTAATAAGCAATGTAAATGCACATTGTAGACCCACCTGCCACTAACAAGCTCTTTGAATAACTAAGAAAACTGCGCCATTGACTTCAGACCTGCTCTTTGTTGGTCAATAGTGTGGTCCATTTCAGTTGCATCAAAATAGCAATGCAACAACAATGTACCTTAACACACATTCTTTTCAGATCAGAGCACACAATAAGCACAGAAGCGTATGCTGTTTAAACAACATGATGCAGGATGTGAAAATGATACCTGCACCAGGCTGAAACTAGCAAAACATTATTAATAAAAAAGTGTATTTCCATGCTCCTCATTTTGCCTTACTTCAGTGTGTAGCTTGACCTGCTGAGTGCTGATATATTCAACTCACCACATTTGAGGCGTTCGGCGAAGCTCCTTTTTGCATCAGTATCTTGACTATATTCAGATGACCCATGAAGGAGGACACATGCAGCGGGGTCAAGCCTGACTGTTGGACACCAAGCAATGACCCAGGTAAGACCTCTCAATGTATCACTGGAAAACTTTATTTTGGTAAATGAATGTTAAATGAATTATTGTTTGGCCCACCTCGGTTACAGCTTCCAGGGATGCAGAATGCTTTAATAGCAGGTCCATTACACGCATGTGGTTCTTCTTACAGGCAATGTGGAGCGGCGTGAATCCATTCTAGGGACATAATGAGTGGGCAAATATTTACATGTAGAGTAAAAATCAAATTTATTAGCCCTCCTGCGAATTTTTTTATTCTCTCTTTTATTATATATTGTATATATTATATATATTATTTCCAATCCAGGCTCATCATGGATACGTACCCCTGTATACATTTCTGAATAGCGCGAAATATTGCACAGGAGATATGTTTTTTGTAGTGTTTGTTTTTGCGAATCCACCAGAGGCAGCTGTGTATGCTTTTTCAGGTCTCAAATTTCTCCTGCGAGTTTCTCCCGCCATTCGTACCTGCTCTTCTTGTGTAAATCCACCCGAGACCGCTGTCGACTGACTGACTGACCGATACCCTCCGCTTCCCTAAACCCAACCAATAGTGTTTTTTAAAGTATCGATCCCCCCCCGCCCACCATCTTTCCTAAACTCAACCAATAGTGTTTTCAAAAGCAATCCAGAAAAATAAAAGCCCTTGCCTGATTTTTACCATGTTTTCAGATTTTACCACGTTCTCACCCTCTTATTTACTTGTTTATTTTATTTTTTGCGTTTGTTTTTGTCTTAACTGCTTTTTGGAATCATTCTTTGCTGGGCTCGAACCCCGTGGGTGTGGTCAACTCCACTCTGCGTCTCAAGTCTTCCGGCGTTCGAGGCGAGCCAATAGGCAAACTGGTAACTGCGGAAAAGCTGTCCATGCAGAGGTAAGTAGTCAGCTGGTAGCGCAAAATGAAACAGAAGCCGGTGGTGACGTCAAACAGCCGTGTTGTGTTTGTTTTAAAGATAAATTGAAGCCATATGTAGTTCTAGCTACATAATTCGCGCTCTCCAGAAATAATCACAATGAGCCTGTGTTAAATATTTCACCAAGTGATGTTTAACAGAGCAAAAATTGAGAAATAAAAGAGAATTGAGCAAAATTGAGAAATGTCTTCTTTCTTTTAGTTTGACTGGAATAAAATCAGTTTTATAACAATTTTAAGGTCAATATTCTAAAAAAAACATATTTTTAATTGTCTACAGAACAAACCAGTTATCTAATAACTTGTTTAATTAACCAAACCTGCCTAGTTAATCAAATTAACCTAAATTAAACCTTAAGCTGAATACTACTATCTTGAGAAATAATCAGTAAAATATTACGTACTGTCATCATGCCAAAGACAAAATAAATTAGAAATTAGTTATTAAAAATTTTATGTTTAAAAAAATACTCTCTCCGTTAAACAGCACTTGGGAAATATGACATTTTAGAATAAAAATTTCGCACAAAGACCAATACATTCGACAGTAAGAACACCAGGGTAAATATAATCACATGCATTAATTGTGTGGAGTCTTCTTTGTGGAAGTGCACTGACCAGAGCGCGGGTGTTTGGTTTGGCTCCTTTATCCAGGAGCACCTTGGCCACGCGGTGATGCCCGCAGTGAGCCGCCACATGCAGAGGTGTCAGGTGGTCCAGAGTGATGTCATCGATCTCTGCGTTGTACTGTAAGAGCTGTCGGATACAGTCCAAGTGATCGCCCTGGGCTGCCATGTGGATCGGCGACAGGCCATTCTGTGCAGTGAACATATGAGGACATTTAGAGCTGCCAGTGACATTTGCTTTAAAATGACCAGCCAAATCCAGCTAAAACCAGCTTGACCAGCCTGGTTTAAGCTGGGCATAGCTGGTTTGGGCTGGACTCCCAGCTTGGCTAGGCTGGTCAAGCTGGTTTTAGCTGGTCATCTCCCAGCCTGACCAGCTAAGACCAGGCTGGAAATGGCTGGAAACCAGCCTGGAAGTGGCCAAAACCCCTCTAAAACCAGCCTGGTCGACCAGCTAAAACCAGCCAACCAGCCTGGGCTGGTTTAAGCTGGATTTTTCAGCAGGGGAGAAACAGCCACGGATTACACAATTTCTCTCGAACAGTACTGAAGCTGAGGGGCTTAGCGTGAGTTTCTTTGTGTTTACATGTAAACCGTGTGTGTTTGGGTCAGAGCCTACTTTGGTCTTGGCCTGTATTGGGGCTCCTTGGTCCAGAAGGATCTCGATGATTCTCACATGGCCATTTCTGGCAGCACAGTGAAGAGGAGTCAACTCATCCTGAGGGAAGAACACAAGATCATGTAGGCAAAGTTTTCTAGTGCCCTTAAAAAGTATCATTGTGACACCTGCTAGGACAAAAATCCTTTCAATATGTGAAATATTCCTTCTATCACGTGCCGTTGCTTTTATTTAGAACACAATACGCTCTTCAATCTGGCAACCTCCGCTTGCTTTTGTTTTGGTCCAGGTGCGCAATACCTAGTTCAACCACTGGGTCTCAAACTTACATACTACACCTTTAAATAGTACTAGTACAGCTTTAATGGTATTGTAGTGTAAACCTTCTGTGACTGCTTCTGAAGCTTTGTTTCATCATATAACATACTTTTGTCTTGGCATCGATCTTTGCTCCTCGGTCCAGCAGAAGTCTGACCATGATGACGTTCCCTCTCCTGGATGCGATGTGCAGCGGTGTGATCCCGTTCTGCAGGACAGAAACACATCAGCTAGCATGTAGCTGTAAGCAGACAACTTGTATAAAACAGTTTGAAAGCAGACCTTAGGTGTGAAGTTCACATCAGCTCCTCGGTTCAGAAGAAGCTGAGCAACATTCAGGTTTTCATAATGTGCTGCGATGTGGAGCGGCGTGAAGCCTGTCTGTAGAGGATCAAGGGAAACTGAGTCAGTGACCAGAACACTTTGCCTTGTCCATGTAAAATACAGTTATTCTTCTCTACACAGCTGTGTTGAATACTTGATTCTGATTGGTCAGTGGTGACATTCCAAGGTATGTTATTCCCAGATAACAGCCGCTAAATAACACACGCTCATCTGGGAACTTAAAATAACTTTGACCACCAGTTAACACGTTCACATACATACTTACACTCACATTCATGTTTATATGCTTGGCTGTCAAGCCATGGTTTATGACAGTTTGCCACAGCATTCTTTTAAGTAAATAATATATAGGTTAGGGTATTTTATTTTATTCAGCTAGTTTAAGCTGTGTCCCAAATGGCACACTATACACTATGCACTATGTACTTATGCACTTACACACTCAACAGGATAGTATATGTAGGTAGTGTCGTCCCAAACGGCACACTAATGTTTTTTTACTAAGCGGGAATTCAAACCGTTTCCCTAATGATGTTTGACGGTTGCCAAATCAGTGAAATAAACGACCGAATTATTAAATAATACCTGCCGTGAGTATAACCGCATTCACCACCGGGGGGCGCTATAATCACTCTCGTAGGAGAATTTTGCGTTCACCATCCAAAATAAATAAAGTATCCAACTTGTGCGCCCGATAGCTCCGCCCCTTCCGCTACGTAAGCAAACCTGCAGTCGTTGAGTGCGTGAAGTGTCCATCATTACACACTACATTTTAGCGGCTGAATGAGTGCATCATTCTGGTAATTAAGTGCACTTATTATTTTTAGAGTTTTAAATTTGAACACACAACTTACACTATTTATACTACAAAACGGAGTAGAATAGTGCATAAGTATGCAATTTGGGAAGCAGCTTTAGTTTCTGTCAGCTTCTGTTTTTGACTGTTTGGCGCCATCTAGTGTCTGAATAATGTGCAAGTTAGTGTATAGTTTGTCAGCTTTTTTATTTCATTAAAGTAATACGCTATTATGTAGCTTTTTGTGTCTAATTTGGATGTTTTGTGGGAAGTAGTCATGTAATAAGCCGGATAAAGTCTTATACAACAGCCTATTAAGCCTATCAGGCTGCAATAACAACCTCCTGCATGTGCTTTATCCCGAACTTACCCAGTGGAATCTTTAATGGAAAATTTCTGCTGCTTCATATTTTTGTGGAAAACAGCGACGTGGGTTTTTCAAGATTTGTTGATGAATTTAAAGTTTAGATGATTTGGAGATTTTCATAATAATGTAATGTCTTTACTGACAATTTTAAAAAAAAATCTATTTACCATTTATTTTGGAGTATAAAAAAACACCAGTGAATACACTCACATGCATGTATTTCCATTCACATTTAGCTATATATCTGCTTGTCTTTCATGCTTTGGATGCTTGACTGTTTGGCGGCATCTTGTGTCTTAATAATGCGCAGGTTGTTGTTAGTGCATTCTGGGTTATGTTGTTGCTCTTAAAAGTAGTAAACCGTAAACAAACAGAGCTCACTCAGAGTCTGTGTCTGAAGTCACATTTTGTGCCCTTGTTTACTATCCCATACACTGGTTCACTAATATGTAATGTAATGTAATGTGTATTTATATAGCGCATTTATTGTGTATGGCCATACACCCAAAGCGCTTCACAATCATGAGGGGGGTCTCTCCACACCACCACCAGTGTGCAGCATCCACTTGGATGATGCGACCGCAGCCATAGGACAATGGCGCCAGTGCGGTCACCACACACCAGCTATTGGTGGAGAGGAGAGACAGTGATAGAGCCAATTCGGTGGAAGGGGATGATTGGGAGGCCATGATCATAAGGGCCGATAGAGGGACTTTAGCCAGGACACCGGGGTTACACCCCTGCTCTTTCACGAGAAGTGCCTTGGGATTTTTAATGAGCACAGAGAGTCGGGACCTCGGTTTAACGTCTCATCTGAAAGACGGCGCCCACTGACAGTGTAGTGTCCCCTTCACTTTTACTGGGGCATTAGGACTCACGCAGACCACAGGTTGAGCACCCCCTGCTGGCCTCACTAACACCACTTCCAACAGCAACCTGGTGTTCCCTAGTGGTCTCCCATCCAGGTACTGACCAGGCTCAGCCCTGCTTAGCTTCAGTGAGTAACCGGTCTTGGGCTGCAGGGTGATATGGCTGTGCAATATAGTTCACTAGAGTCAATGAACACAAATGAGTCAATACCGACACCTAATCACAATCAATAAAGGAAAGAGAAACAATAAACACAAACAGCGACTTTAAATACAGCATTACAGACAGTCAACTAAAAAAAAAACAACAACTTCAGTCTCAGCGAAGGATCCACAAACAGCGTCAGCTTCACTAACCAGTTTGACTTCCATACAGTTATTACTGAGCATTAGCAGAGGTTTATGCTTTGTTTAGTTTGGTGTTGCCATAATGGGGTCGGTACATTCCAGCAGTACCATGCAAGATTTGATGAATGAATGTGGGTGCAGTTAAGTTACTCATGTATTGTTGAAGGGACTCTAGAAAAATCTCAAGCAAAAACGACTAGCAGCTAAAATAAAAGCAATTTACAGGTGCAAGGCTAATTAACCACAGGCTAATTCTAGTGGTTTATACATAGAACTATAGGCCAATTCTTGTGGTTTATGTATGGAGTTTTTGGCTAATTTTTGTAGTTCATGCGTGGAACTAGAGGCAAAATCTAATGGTTCATGTATGGAGCTATATGCTAAACCTTGTTGTTCATGCATGGAACTATTGTCTAATTGTAGTAGTTCATGCATGGAACGATAGGCTAATTCTAGTAATTTATGCATGGAACTTTAGGCTAATTCTAGCGGTTTATGTGTGGGACTATAGGCCAATTCTTGCAGTTCATGCATGGAACTATGGCTAATTCTTGTAGTTCATGCATGGAACTATTGGCTAATTCTAATGGTTCATGTATGGAGCTATAGGCTAAAGTGTGTAGTCAAGCATGGAACTAAAGGCTAATTCTTGTAGTTCATATGTGGAACTATTGGCTAATTCTTGTAGTTCATGCATGGAACTATTGGCTAATTCTAATGGTTCATGTACGGAGCTATAGGCTAAAGTTTGTAGTCAAGCATGGAACTAAAGGCTAATTCTTGTAGTTCATGCGTGAAACTATTGGCTAAATCTTGTAGTTCATGCGTGGAACTAAAGGCTAATTCTTGTAGTTCATGCGTGTAACTAAAGGCTAATTCTTGTAGTTCATGCGTGTAACTAAAGGCTAATTCTTGTAGTTCATGCGTGTAACTAAAGGCTAATTCTTGTAGTTCATGCGTGTAACTAAAGGCTAATTCTTGTAGTTCATGCGTGAAACTATTGGCTAAATCTTGTAGTTCATGCGTGGAACTAAAGGCTAATTCTTGTAGTTCATGCGTGGAACTAAAGGCTAATTCTTGTAGTTTATGCGTGTTACTAATGGCTAATTCTAATGGTTCATGTACGGAGCTATAGGTTAAATTTTGTAGTCATGCATGGAACTGTAGGCTAATTCTTGTAGTTCATGCATAAAACTAAAGGCTAATTCTAATGGTTTATGCATGGAACTATAAGATGTTTCTAGTGATTCATGCATGGAACTATAGGCTAACTCCAGTGGTTCATGTGCAGAGCTATACACAGTACACTCAATTAAATTATGTCAAAATCAACTTTTATTTTTGATTTTGTTTAATGTTTAATTTTTGCCCAGCGCTATTTTTTTACAGCTACATACTGTAAGAGGCAGCTACGGTAAAGCACTGTAAAATAACAGTACATTAATGGCAACTGCAGCTGCCAGTATTTTACTGTTAATTTACAGAGCCATATATTTACAGTGTACAGAATTTACAGTAGTGCTCTTGTAAAAACAGTGTGTAGCTGGCAACCCAGCTTCCAGTATTTACTGTAAATTTACAATGAAATAAGTGTACTACACTATTAAAAATATCTTTTGATTAACAGTTTCTGCATTTTGTGGTTTACGAGTGTTTTCTGTTTATTTATGGTTGCGATTTGTATTATGGGATGTTGATCGCTGCTCTGTCCATTTTCGATGCTGAAAATTCAACTCTACAGTTTAACAAGGGGACTTTTATTGGCATTATTCAGTAGTAGTTTGAGACAAGATATTGTTCAAGAAATAACAACTAAGTTTGTAAAATAAAAAATGTACTGGCAGCTTATTACCAGGTTTTTGTACCGTAATATTACTTTAAACTATTTAAAATGTCAATCAAAGTCAAAGCTTTTCAACATCAAAAGCATTTGGAGGAAAGATCAAGGTCCCATAATGCAATTCAAAAGCATAAATAAGCGGGAAAAAAAAACATGAATCACAAAATACGGAAAACAGAGTATAAAAACAATGAGTTTGCACAAACCTTGCTCAGGACGTCAGGATTGGGGTCGTTCTGTAAGAGCACAGCGGCAGTGCGGGTGTCGTCGTTTCGGGCAGCGATGTGCAGTGCGGGAAGGCGGACCTTGCCCTTAGTACCGTGGTTGATGAGCAGGGCCACCACATTCTCATGGCCCTGCTGAAGAGCCACAGCAAGAGGGGTAAAGCCATCCTGCCAGAGACACAAACATTCAACATTCACATTTACACTGAACACAACCTAGGTCAAAACAGCAGATGACAGTGTGCGTCCTAAATGATACACTAAACACTTATACACTATTGACCTTATTTGGCAATGCAGAAATGCGCTAGTTTTGTCAATTGCTTTAGTACTGCCGATTCAGCTTCCTCTGGGAAAATTACTAACAGCAGAAAACAGCTAAACTACTTGCTTTACAAACAATTGTGTTCATGACTATACATAAAAATTTTAATACTATAATAAGAAAATATCAGCTTGCAACATCAAGCAGCAGAACGAGCTGTTTTTAATGTCTAAAGAATCAATGGAAGTGAATGAGAGCAGAAGTCTCTAGCCAAATAGAGCAAGGCAAATCTAGTGCATTTCACACACACTTCCGCACTTATACACTCAACCATATAGAGTTTAGTGTCGTCCTAAATGTAACACCAATTTTTTTTACTAAATGGAAATTTAGTTTAGGTTGCCAAATGTGTGAAATAAACCATCCAACTATCAAACAGTACCTCACTCACTGGCCACTTTATTAGGTACACATTACTACTACCGGGTTGGATCCCCTTTTGCCCTCAGAACTGCCTTAATCCATCGTGGTATAGATTCAACAAGACATTGGAAATATTCCTCAGAGATTTTGCTGTTGATGCAAGGCAGGATGGATCCATACTTTCATGTGGTTGACGCCAAATTCTGACCCGACCATCCGGATGTGGCAGCAGAAATGGAGACTCATCAGAGCAGGCAACGTTTCTCCAATCTTCTATTGTCCAGTTTTGTTGAACCTGTGTGAATTGTAGCCTCAGTTTCCTGTTCTTAGCTGACAGGAGCGGCACCCGGTGTGGTCTTCTGCTGCTGTAGCCCATCCGCCTCAAGGTTGGACGTGTTGTGTGTTCAGAGTTGCTCTTCTGCAGACCTCGGTTGTAACGAGTGCATATTTGAGTTACTGTTGCCTTTTTATCAGCGGGAACCAGTCTGGCCATTCTCCTATGACCTCAACAAGGCATTTGCGCCCACAGAACTGGCGCTCACTAGATATTTTCTCTTTTTCAGACCATTCTCTGTAAACCCTAGAGATGGTTGTGTGTGAAAATCCCAGTAGATCAGCCGTTTCTGAAATACTCAGACCAACAACCATGCAACGTTCAAAGTCACTTAAATCCCCTTTCTTCCCCATTCTGACACTCGATTTGAACTGCAGCAGATCGTCTAGACTATGTCTACATGCCTAAATGCATCGAGGTTCTGCCATGTGATTGGCTCATTAGAAATTTGCATTAACAAGCAGGTGGACAGCTGTACCTAATAAAGTGGCCGATGAGTGCATTGTAAACTACCTAAAGAGACGAGTTAAAATATTATATTTTTGAATTGTGTATTTCTTTTTAACCTAACACTGAAAATGACCTTTTGAGTGTTTTTTCATTTTGCTTTTTTAAATTGTGCTTAATTTTTTTATTTAAAGTACTTCATAAAATAACATTAAAGTATATTTTTGTTCACCATAAAAGCATTACTTTAACCATATTTCAAAGACTATAGAAGAAATCACAGAATTACATAAAAATTAAATGGCATGCATAAAAAATGACGTTCCATTTGCACTTAAATAAGTCAGTGATGTGCATAGGAAAGCCTCTGATCAATGTCATTACCTCAGTTGGAATGGTCTGATTGGCTCCGTTATCCAGCAGAAACTTCACAACCTCCAGATGATTCTCTTGTGCTGCCATGTAGAGCGGCGTGAAGCCCTTCTGTTGCAGACACACATAAACACACATATATGCAGAAACACTACCCAAACTAACACAAGCACACAAATACACGGATGACAGTACAGGCAGACAGTCGGCGTTTACACTGAAAACCACTGAAAACTGCACACTCAGAATCACTGTAGAACATCGAAATGGGGGGAAGAAAACACATTAAATATTGTGATTTAGAGCAGTGTTAGGTGAGATGTTGGTTTATAGATGTGTGAATATTATAAGTAATCCACAAAAAGACAAGGTTTAAAAAGTAGCTCACCTGAGACTGAGCGTTGACGTTTGCTCCATAGTTGACCAGTTCAGTGACCACCTGCTCCTGGCCAGCCAACGCCGCTATATGAAGAGCAGTGTTCCCTTTCTGGAGGAGAAACGCCTTATTAAATATTATTGTCACATGCATGCAAATCAAACACTTCCTGATGTGTTTAATTTTTATAAAATAGATGTGTTGATATTTAAAATATAATTTGGACTTGCAGATACTATTTATGGTTATGCGGCACAGTGGGTTGCACGATCGCCTCACAGCAAGAAGGTTCGAGCCTTAGCTGGACCTTTTTGCATTTCTGTGTGGAGTTTGCATGTTCTCCCCATGTTGGCGTGGGTTTCCATCGGGTGTTCCGGTTTCCCCCACAGTCTAAACACCTGCGCTATAAGGGGAATTGAAACTAAAATGGCCGTAGTGTACGTGTGTGTGTGTGTGTGTGTGTGTGTGTGTGTGTGTGTGTGTGTGTGTGTGTGTGTGAGAATAAGTGTATGGGTGTTTCTCAGTACTGGGTTGCAGCTGGAAGGGCATCTGCTGCGTAAAACATATGCTGGTTAAGTTCGTTCCGCTGTGGTGACCCCTGATGACTAAAGGGACTAAGCCGAAGGAAAATGAATGAATTAATAATTTAATTTTAAATTAAATTTAAAGTCATAAGTACATTTTGATCTCATAATTTTCACTTAAGTCATTTTGACTGCCATCATGGATAAAATTGTGTTGAACATGTATTGTATTGTATTGTATTGTATTGTATTGTATTGCAGTGTATTGTATTGTATTGTATTGTATTGTATTGTATTGTGTTGTATTGTGTTGCATTGCATTGCATTGCGTTGCGTTGCGTTGCATCGCATCGAATTGCATTGCATTGCATGGCATGGTAGCGTTTTTGTGTCGCGTTTTGTCAAAACAAAACGCTGTTGTTTTGTATTTTACTATATTGTATTGTATTGCATTGCATCGTATCGTATTGCATTGTAATGTATTTTTTTGTTTGTTTTTCACTTTTTCTGTAGTATTAACAGCTTAATAGTTGTTCGACTGTGGACAAGCCATACCTTTCAATCTTGAAGTTTTGGGCAATTTTTTAATTAATGTTTGTGGAATTTTTGCTTAAATCTTCCATTAATTTCTAACTATGATAACTTATTTTAACAATATTTTTTTGTTTCTAAGTTTACATAATATTACAGTTTACACAGTATATAAAAATTATAAAAACACAGCAAACATATTATATCCAAATTCCCTCAAACCACTCCAACTCAAATCAAAAGGATTAAAGATATAATAATAATAATAATGATAATAATAATAATAATAATAATAATAATGATGATGATGATGATAATAATAATAATAATGATAATAATAATAATAATGATGATGATGATGATGATGATAATAATAATAATAATGATAATAATAATAATAATAATAATAATAATAATAATAATAATAATGATGATGATGATAATAATAATAATAATAATGATAATAATAATAATAATAATAATAATAATGATAATAATAATAATAATAAAAATAATGATAATAACAATAATAATGATGATAATAATAATAATGATGATAACAATAATAATAATAATAATAATAATACAAAATAATAATAATATAAATAATAATGATAAATAAATAAATAATAAAATAATACAAATAATAATAA